TGTACCTTCGAATCCACGGTTGAGGAAGCTGCCAATTCCTTAGAAAATATCAAAATATATTCTAGCTATTGGATTGCAGAAATTATACTCCACCCAATCGTTGCGCATCCACATATTAGGCGCCAATCACCATGTAGCTATGGGCCCACAATGGTTTTTTTTTTTTTTAAATTTTGGACGAAGATGGAAATGGAAACTCTCAGGAGTCAAACCAACATCCAATTTAGAAGGGATCCATATGGGCTACAGTCAGACAGGGGGCCCGTGTCAAAATGGTGGAGGCCCACTTACATGCCTTCATTACAAGTTGCTTCTTGCATAAGCGACACCTCACATCCCTTCAACACGTGTTCTTACTTCTTAGGTTTTTTTTTTTTTTCGTCTACTATCTAACCATAATCACGACCCCTTGTTTTGACGTGGCCTGGCTTCAATCTTGACTTATTAACTACGGAATCCCACCCACCCGTGACCTTTTTATTTTTTATTTTCTTTTTGAAGCTCATATCTCATTAAAAATAATAGGATATCAATTTATTTTTAAAATATTTTATTTAAAAATATATTAAAATAATATTTTTTATTTCTTATTCTAAAAACATATATATTTATAATCATGAGAACAAATTATTTTTTTTTGAGTTGAAATATTTTACAAGTACAATTAAGAGTAGAGTTGTAATTTTTGTTGTCCTATACTATTAAATAAATGTATACTTTTTTTAAAATTAATTATTAATTTATCTATATGAATTTTTGAAGTTAATAATAAAGTTTTAATTCAAATATATTACCTAAAATATTAAAAGATAAATTTGAAAGTATATAAAATTAAAGTGAAAGTAAAAAATAAACCTACTATTAAAGTTATATCCTTCAATATTTTGTGAAATATAATTCATCTATAATCGAATCTGAATCGATATTATAACAATCCTTCAACCAAAATAAAATAACAATCTCATATCAATTGAAAAACAAAGTAACTAATTTTTCTCTCTCTCAATTACTCTTTCCTTTACTTGATTTTTTTTATATTAGTGTTTAATAAATTGAACTTTGTAAGTTTAGAAGGTTATTCTCTCACCTTTTTTTTTATTTTTTTCTTTTAATTTTTTTTATATATTTTCCCTTAACTTTTTTCTCTTTCTCTCTCACATTTTCTTTTCTTTCTTTCATATTCTGCTTCTGCCCAATTATCAACATATAAAAGAAATGAAGAGTTGATTTATTTTATTTTTTAATGGCAAATAATTGTTTTACCTTCCATGAGTCGTTTTGTTTTTATTTAATGGTTTTTTTTTTGATACTATCAAACTCTGTTTATTCTAAAATTTTAACTAGGTTTTATTTAATATATTTTAAGATATTTTATAAAATTGCAGTTCAATCTGATAATCTGATTCAAATTACGTCTAATAATATAAAAACTAGTTAAATTGTAATTTTTCATTAAAATTTTAAATTTCTCTAAAATGTCTGAAATTTCAACTCAAATTAAAGCATCGTTTTAAAAAATTATACACAAATTTTTAGAATTTTTTAATAATTATATTGAAAATTATAAATTTTTATATAAAAATAATAAAAAAATATTAATAAAATCTTAACCTAAGCTATAATCTACTCAAACCCTTAACATGTCTCCGCCATTTCCTATAATCCACTCAAACCCTTAACATGTCTCCGCCATTTACAACAAACAACATTATTTTTTACGTCATATCATCCAACACGCAATCTTGAATAGCCCTCCTCAGCAATCTCTCGAAGGTTGAGATCTTTTCACTATAAGAAGCCTTTCATGCTCATAAGTACTCATTTTGACATTAAGAAATGAAGTTGTAGATGCCGTGAGTGTAAACATTACATGTAGCAGCCTTTTTTGACATCTATTTTTTCCAAAACTTCTAGAAATAAGACTTAAAATTCAAAATATGTAATTTCATCAAAAATTCTCCATTTCTTTTTTTTTTTGTTTAAATTCGTTGATGTTTTGAGGTTTCTAGCATG